AGACAGATGGTTGTACAAATGATTTTCCTAAGAAACAAAAGTGGTTTTTGAAGAAAAACTCGAGAACGTTAATGAGATACAGATTTTTTTTTGGGGGGGGGGGGGGGGGGGGAAAATTTTGGGGGGGGGGGCCCCCCCCCCCCCCCCGCACACCCCCTAGATACGCCACTGGATCTGAAGGAGAAATCGTTCAACTAAAAAGGAAATCTAGGTGGAGAGGACCTGAAAAATGTAAATACCGATTATACACACAGTATCTAGTGGATGTCCAACATCAGTTATTGCACACAGTTCTGGAAACTATTGACAATCATTATGTTGAAATAATAATGTACTTTTATATAGCGCCGTATCCTTTTAATATAAGATGCTCAGGGCGACTGACATGTGGACTAGGAACTCGATCAATGGCTTTCTTTTCCCCATAAGGGTCCCTTCGTGTCTGTGCTACCCGGTATCCCGGTATACCAGCAACTCCCGTCGTCCACCAATTCAAAGGAGCTTTCTGTTCCAGTACACAGGGGTATCCCCCTACTTGTCTCGAACGATGTACTGAGTTCTTATAGTGCATACGAGCCGTTGTATACACTGGGCCTACGGTTTATAGTCCTTATCCGAGAAGATTTGTTCTACCACCAGAACAATATGCGAGCATGCCGTTCGAACCAGCGCCGATTATGGCTGTGGTCGTGGCGCCCCTGCTGACCGCTCGGCCATTCAGCTCGCCTCGAGATATGACATTATTATAAATATATTACCATAAACAGAAACTCCGGAGAGACGCACGACGGGCCGCTGCCTGAGCTTAAGTCGGACGCGACGTCGTCTGTTAATTGTCGGTGACGGATCATCATTAAACACAACCCGTTTCGGGCGAGTTGTAGGGTACGCATTCGCATAGGCCGATGACAGTCGGGCGCAGTGAAAAAAACGCTTATCGTTATCAAACTTACATCAGTAATTGTGAAATAAATTAAAACTAATTTTCCAGTACCTAAATAAAACTAGCAGTATGGCGTAGATTCAGGAACAGCATGTACCCATTCGAGTTGCGTTTCCTGCAGGCAGACAGAACACAATTTTTCCTATGTGGCAGCACGTAAGATAGTCCGATTTTGCCCACGTCGAACGCCCGTATAAAGAGAGGCAAAGAGCGCGCATATCGATATTAAAATAATAATAAAAAAACACATGTTACATTTAATAATCACATAAAAAAAATATCTTGATTTAATTTGATTGTATTTGATAATAGGAATGATATTTTGCCCTACATGACGTGTTATCGTACTAAATGCTCACCCTGGGATTAGAAACATCTTAACTCCACTCCTGACGCAAGCACTATCAGAATATGTATTAGATAAATCACTTAAAATAATACAGAAAGTATAAACACCGAGTTTTAAAATACGGTATGTAAATATAGATTCATAAAAAGCCCAATGATTTTTGAGGGATAATTTCACTGCTTAACTTGATGAATTAGCTGAACAATTGATTGATAGATAAACAAAAGTCTCCCTCATTGAGGAAATTTATAGTAATTGTCAATTATATTTAAGACATCAAAACGTTTATATTTACTGTAAATCAGAATCGGTAAGTAAAGTTTCCTCTAATACCTGATTCTCAAGCCTATGACTCGAGTGAGGAATGACGGTCTTTGTAATCAAAACCCTCTGACATACGTTTAATCAAGGAGGTATAAAATAAACTCAATTTATTTTATACCTCCTTGGTTTAATAACAAATCAAATATTGTAATCTACTACTGATAGGCCCAACAGCACAATACACGCAAAAACTGTAGTCAATGACACTTATGCTTTCGTAATTATGGGTCGCTCGCTACAAGTGCCACTTGATAAATGGTCTTTCTTTTTGTCTTTTGGCGTATACTTTTTGAGCAGTGCCCTCTATCAAACTATAATTTTCTAATGAAAACCGATTGTTTAATTGTATCATTTGTTACCATACCGTGTGAAGAAATAAATGTTTATTTGATTTGAATTGAAAAATATATTCATATAATTTTCTAATTTTGTGGAGAAAATTGAATTTGAATATTAATGTAAGTCCTATATTATGTTAAGAAACTTACTGTATACAAACTCAATATACATGAATACAATAAAAACATAGGCCTAAATAATATAAAAATGTAAACAAAATTAACTATTAAAAGAAAATGGATTACATTCATCAGGTACAATTACAAAACTATTGGGAATGTTTATTTTTACAACGCTGTATGTGAAATGGTTAAAAGATGAAATACTGTTTTCATACCAGATTATTAAGCCTATTATATAGCACAGGAAAAACCCACATTAGGATTGCATATTACGCTATAACACAGAAACTCGGACATTGGTGAAACTGTTATCTCGTGGTACCTCCCACCTCCAAATGATCATCAACTCCTACTACTGTATGCAGCCGGTTCAATGACATTTTATAATTCTTCACCAAGGGTTATTTCAAGTGCATTCTCAACTAAACTACTGTAGGTAGGGTTTTTTTTCACAAAATTCTCAACCCATTCAAGGGTGGGGTGAGTGGGTTTGAATAGCATTGTCAGTTTTAAAAATGTCTGATAATGCAAACTGGTATATTTTTCTACGTTCACTATAACATGAGTACACAGTTTCACGTTCGCAGACAATTTGTTAAGTCATGTCAATTAAAATAAAAAACACTCATAAAAATAGGTCCGAAATGGAAGCACTTTTCAGTAGTCCCAAACTGTGCCAAAATCTTGGCAACGTGGACAGAATCACTTGAAAATGCGTTTGAGTACCAAGGAAGAGAGAACATAATGGTCAGAGAAATAAATGCACCAAAACTCAGAATTTCATTACAGTAATGATGTTTTAATCATAATATGCAGCAGTTTATAAATTACTGTATTAACAAAAATATGTTCACTTTGTTTGATTAAAAAAAAACAAAAAACAAAAAAAAACAAAAAAAAAAACTACAAAATCTGTTATGGGCTTACTTTATTGGTCTAATTTTACCATTAAATTACATATAGCCTGAATTACTCCCTATGCATTATTGTACTGATGTCAAACAGTATAATTTTTTTGATAAATTAAGTACAGTACACATATTAATAGGATTTGCCTGCTTATTACCACCTTGTATTCTGCCACTATAGCTGCCATGGTAATTCCATCCCCACCACTACTACCACCACTACCACTGACGGCATTGGTAAACAAAAATAGGTTTCTACTTCAGAGCTCACTGATTGATTGTCTGATTGATTGATTGATTGATTGTCTGATTGATTGATTGACTGACTGATTGATTGATAGTCTGATTGATTGATAGTCTGATTGATTGATTGATTGATTGTCTGATTGATTGATTGACTGATTTATTGATTGACTGACAAATTAATTGATTGTATAGAACAGCCTCCTCCAATAACCCTTACTCAGGAGACCTATTGGTAATTGTCTACTATTATTATCTTTATATGTAAAACACCAGTAGATTTGAATCTCCTGTTTTTAAACCAGCATCAATGGATTCTTGTCAACACTATGTTTTTCAAACAGTCCCTTGCATCACTCTGACCTATGACACAAGTGGAAATGGATGATCTTTGTGATCAGAAATCCTGAAAGAAAGTTCATATAAAAAACACTGGTTAATCAACAAGTAAATTCCCTACTCATATAGCATAATCAACTTGAAAAACTGTAGAGCGTAAGCTACATTTGTTTCTTAAATCCTGGCTGCACTAACAAATTTTGACCAAAAAAAATGTGACATTCCTAAATATGGTCAAGATTACATCACATCAGGATCCTATATAGGTACATTATGAGTATATATAGGAATACAACAGACTCGTTCCAAAAAAAAACAAAACATATTGAGACCCTAGACAGGATTTTACTTTGGAAGCTACTGAATTTAACATGAAAATTTGAAGATTTACATTGGGCTAAAAAATAATTTTAGTTCAATTTTTTAACAAAATGTAAACAAAATTAACCATTATATAGAAAACTGATTATACGTAACAGGTACATATATTATTTATAAACAATGTCATATGTTACTTTTTTATATTAAGAGAGTTTTACAGGTACAAGTGTTTAGAAACATAATATGATCGAAGACTTTCAAAAATCCTTGGTATGGCAAATGTATAAGTTTGTATTTTATTATCACTTACCAAAACTCAAACCTCTATAAATAAGCTATATTATGAGGTCTTAAGTTGTCAAAAAAAAACAAACAAAAACTATAGTATTGAAAAAGAATTAACCCAGGACCAAAGGCAGGTATCTTAACCACCAAACTACTGGTTCCCTCCTATTGCACATAAAATGTCTATCAATATCTATCAACAATCAACATAGTGTTATACTGTGATACCTACCATTCCAGTGCACATCCTCGGTAGTCTCTGTTAAGATCCAATAGCAGCTTCAGGTCTTCAGGTTTTAATTCAAAGTTGAGCGACTGAAATATAAACAGATAACAAGAGTTAATTTACATAAATGTCATGATGACATCACATCATGACCATATATAGGCACATCATGACCATATATGGGATCATGACCATATGTAGGCACATCATGATTATATATGAGAATATATGAGATCATGACCATATATAGGCACATCATGACTATATATGGGATCAACACCATATATAGGCACATCATGACTATATATATGGGATCATGACCATATATAGGCACATCATGACTATATATGAGATCATGACCATATATAGGCACATCATGACTATATATGGGATCATGACCTATATTATATTCACATGACTATATATGGGCACATGATGACTATATATGGGCACATGATGACTATATATATATGGGATCATGACCATATATAGTCACATCATGACTATATATATGGGATCATGACCATATATAGCACATCATGATTATATATGGGCACATCATGACTATATATAGGCACATCATGACTATATATATATGGGATCATGACCATATATAGGCACATTATGACTATATATGGGATCATGACCATATATAGGCACATCATGACTATATATGGGCACATCATGACTATATATGGGCATACAACAATTCTTTGTCAAATAAAATATGATAGTGTGAACAAGGCTCTATAATGACATAGAGATACAATTCTAGAGCAAGAAACTATAAAGTAAAAAACTCAATGATGGTGGGATGTAACAGTTGTGACCCTGAAAGTTTACAGTAACTGCCATTCAGAATTTAAGTGGTATCTACATTATTATAATTAATATAAACGTCTATTTTGTCAGCATAGAGGGAATTGTCAATCTGGCATTTAGCATACTGAGATTTGTTATTATCGAGTCGGCTTCTCAGGCAAATAAAATTAAAAATTTAATTTATGTAGCGGCAAACCAAAGTAAATTTTCTTGAAAATACATGTATGCTTCTTTGAAAATAAGTTATGGCAGACTAGTCAGGGGGCATGTTACATACAGAAAAAACCTCCATTCGGACACCCCTATTAAGGAGGAAAATTTTTGGTCCCAAAAATGTCAATTTAATAGGGTTCTACTATCCCATACAATGAATCAATTGTTGTCATACTTCAAAATTAGCCTGGATTCGTGCTGGAGTGATGCTCTTTGGTATAACTACGATGCCACGTTCGATTGAAAAACGGATGAGAATTTGGGCAGGACTCTTTTTGTAGCGATTTGCAATTTCCAGAACCATTGGATCATCCATCAAAGATGGATCAGTTTCTTTTACCCTGATAAAATTGAGAAAAAGAATAAAAGAAATGTTTTATTTTAGTCTATTAATGTATAATAATAATAATAATAATAATAATAATAATAATAATAACAATGATAATGATAATAATAATAATAATATTAATAATAATAATAATAATAATAATAATAATAATAATAATAATAATAATAATAATAATAATAATAATAATAATTATAATACTAACTTGGACTTAAGGGGAATATCTTTTGTGTTATTTTCCCCTTAATTTTCTCTACTTTCTTCATTGTCTAAGTTCCCCTTAAGGTAGGTTTTAGTAACATAATAATAATAATAATAATAAAAATAATAATAGTAATACCAATAATAATAATAATAATATTAATAATAATACAGAAATATGTACCACACCTTTTGCCAAGGTTATTTACTGGCTTAGTTTTTCTTTTTCCACTGTTTATTTTCTCAAGCACCTTGTGCCTTTCTTTAAGATGAATATGAGAGCTATACAATTCCTATTTATTATTATTATAAATAATTTAATGTTATAATGAATGTAATCACAAGAAATTTTGAAGTCAATGAGTAAAGAATGATACAACAAATACTATAATTGTAAAGCCCTAAATAGACTATCAAAAAACCAAGTGACAAAATATGGTCATCACATCATGACCATATATATACACATCATGACTATATAAGGGCACATCATGACTATATATGGGCATACAGCAGTTTTTGTCAACGAAAATTTGATAGTGTAGAGGGAGTTTTATCAAAGGTGCTTCAGTGGATACCAACAGTGTCACATAATTGAACACTACTGTACTTACCAAGGCCTGTCTGGTGAGCCTAGCGGACTGTAAGCTGTTACCACGATACCCTTGCTATTACAATAATCAACCATTGCTTGTTGAGTCAAATATGGATGCAGCTCAATCTAAAAGCAAGCACAACAAATGAGAGGTGGTACAAAACACAATATATTTCCTAATCATAATAATAGTAATAGTAATAACTCTTTATTGGTACATATTCATACTGGAAATCGAAAAATTTGTCTGGGCCCATGTGGACCCGTGGGAGCAGCTGCAGTGCAGAGTCACCCGACTTAACTACAACATATGACAGACACATAGGCATACATTGATACATACATCTGTTGTGATGGAAGCGGTTTGAGGTTTCAACGGGTTCGAGTCTCATGTATCCATGTCGGTAGACACAAACATAAAGAAAGCCTGCCCAGTAAAATACACAAATCAAGATAAGTGTTCCTGAAAAATATCTGAAAGCTTGCGATTTGAACCCCTGAACTAATGGTTCAGAGTCTGACAGAGTCTGGGGGGGGGGTTAGTGTTAAGTTTAGGGCCACCCCCCACGCACACCCACCCTCAGATATGCTACCGCCTACAAATAAACCATGACCTGATTACCTGGTTTACTGCTACTGGGGCTTTGGGTGGAAGAGCAAGTATTTTGTCAATCTGCTGCTCGTTGAAGTTCGACACTCCGATGGATTTGCACAGTTTTTTAGCAACCAGCTCTTCCATAGCCTAAGGAATGTTAAGAATAAATGTGCTTAAAAATCTGTCTTATAGTAATAATGACCTTCTTAGAGATTTAATCAATCTTTTTTACCAGTCAATACACGGCTACCTCATCCTTACAGATGAAAAAGATCAACATTTATTCTAAATCAATATAATAATAATAATAATAATACCGTATTTATATAGCGCCTAACAGATCACAGATCCCTCTAGGCGCTTTACAATTCTTAATTTAAGTTAATTTAATTTAAGGCAAAGACAAGCCAAACCAGTCACTCGTCACAAAAACTGATTTTTAGTTATTAGTACAGAGTTAAACAGTAAAGTGAAAGCTATAAAATGGTCAAAGAATCATTTAAATCCAACATTTAGTTATGAAGTTTACAAGAGTTTAAACATGCAGCTGTTTAAAGAACAATATTTGAGAAATCAGCCTTCAAAGTTTATGATTTTGGGCATTTCTCAGGCAAAAACCACCACTAAATCGTTAAAAATTGTTGTTTTAACATTTAAAATGGGGAAAATAACAGCATAGCATGATGTACAGATATATAAGGGTTAGTTTAGTGCAGTAAAATAGACTTCAAAAATATGTACATTCCAGCATGTTTTGGCCATTATCTCTGAAACAGGATTTGCGACGAATGACTGGTTTGGCTTGACTTGACACGATGAGGAGAACTTAACGCTCTCGCATATGAAATATTAGCGACATCATTACGTTCTAGATTCTACCGTGTCGTGCAATCGAAAGTTCCTTATTGTAGGCTAATTAAGATTCTGAAAGAAATGTGCTTCTCTAAGCTACAGCAGAATACATACCTTCCATGTATCAGTGAAGCTAATTTCCTCTGCATAGATAAACTTGCCAGAGTCATCTTTGGGAAATAAATTATCTCCTCTCTAAAAAAAGTGGAATATAATGAAATTATAGACTTTTATTCAAATTTATGTGGCAGTATTATGATTAGTTAACCTAACAATTAAACAATAATTGTAATTAGTACCTTGTATGCCATGGGCCAGTGGATAAGATAGAGGTCAAGATATTCTAATCCCAGCAAGTCAAGACTATTTTTGAAAGTTTTCATCACGTCTTCAGGATAATGAAATGTGTTCCAAAGCTGTGTCAAGATAAAAACAAAAACCATAAGCTGCTAATAACAATGGTGATAATTATGGATTAATTATTTTGTTAAACCATATTTAAAGAGGGTGATCCTTCCAGCGTATCCTAGAAGGTCAACTGATATTCAGACGCCCTCTTTAAATAAATGATATAACATGATGCTTTTATCAGGGAAGTCTCTTTATGAGACTTAGGAAGTGGAGTTGTTTTAGTCGTGAGAAAAAATCCACTCCGCAAAGCAGGTAGCAAAGGAGTATGGGCACAGACTTTGCACCAAATTCCGAAGCTGGCGACACTGCCAGGCACCTTATCTACACATTTTGTACCTGTACACAACTACTGTCTCTTATACACATCTAGATGTGTATAAGAGACAGTGATATAACATGATGCTTTTATCAGCGAAGTCTCTTTATGAGACTTAGGAAGTGGAGTTGTTTTAGTCGTGAGAAAAAATCCACTCCGCAAAGCAGGTAGCAAAGGAGTATGGGCACAGACTTTGCACCAAATTCCGAAGCTGGCGACACTGCCAGGCACCTTATCTACACATTTTGTACCTGTACACAGTGCAGCCTCTTGTTCTCAACATAATGTACAATTCCTACAGTAGGTAATCAATTTCATGGCTTAAGGGACAACAATAGGTACATTTCCTTTTAGACAAAACAACACATAGAATAGAACTGTAGCTAAAGAAACAATTAGAATTTGCGTAGATAGAAACAATGCAAAAATAACGAAGCGCCTCACAATGTTTTAGATTTTTTACATTGACCCGCTCGCATCTGCCTATTATGCAGTGACGTATTCTACAGTTCCGCATAGAAAATGTGCTGTTGCGGTGCAAGAACTACCCCTGCAAACATACTTTGGAAGCTAAACATTACCACTGCATCGCATAATGTCATTTTCCCATTATTATACCTGTCTGATGTGCGAGACAAAAAAAAAGTATATAGCACCCTCTAACTTTTTTTTTTATTATAGTGGTGGAACTGCTACTGTTTACACTCGTCAGTTGGTATAGCTTCATTAAAAGAATTTAAATCAAAAAAATTCAAAAAAGAATTTAAAATGAGCTGTATTGTAGACAAAGAAAAAATTGTATATAGCTCCCTCTATGTGAAAAATCACAAAATATAGCACCCTCTAATTTTTTTCTATTATAGTGGTGGAAATGCTACAGTATATAGTTTTTGGTCGGTATAGCTTCGTTAAAAGAAATTTATATGAGCTGTATTCACATTTTAACAATTTAATATATTCATTTAATTCTTATAAATTTTAGGGTATAATCGGCCTATAAATTTTATCTGTTATAAAACTGTTATGATGCTAAAGATAATAACGTAGGTGTGGATATTCATGCGTGAGACTTGCGCATTATGTGTGGCAGCTGCCAGGTGTACCATATTATGATATTATTCAATGCAATTTTACCTTGCTGGTGATAAATAGGTCTTCCCTCTTTACTGTACCATCATCAATCTTAGCCTTCAAAGCTGTACCAACTTCTTGTTCATTCTGGTAAGCGCAGGCACAATCGATGTGTCGGTAGCCACAGTCAATGGCAGCTTTAACAGCATTTTCTACCTCACCTGGCTTAGACTGAAGAAATAAATGCATATATCATAGCTCTCTCACACCATAAAGCAGTTTGTTTTAGTTCATGATCAGACTGTATAGTAAGGCTTGCACTGGTAATACAGTTGAACACAACAATTTGGCATGTAAAATAAGATTGACTTAGAAATTATCCGAGTTAGGCAAAGTTGACTTAGGCAAGTTTAATTGTATATCCCTGCACAAAAATTAGGTCTATAATTTGCACTTCGAAAAATAAAAGCCGATTACGATCCCGCTCACTTATTTTCCTAGTGATTTTTCGTGGAAATTTTAGTTGCTTCTCAAGATATCCTCCAAGCAAAAAAAAAAAAAAAAAAAAAAAAAAAAAAAAAAAACTTTTCAGTGTGGGTTCATAAATACAATGCATTCAAATATGTGCTGCTGTTGTTATTGACTTGCCTGGTAAGGAATAAAAAGTGCTTAAAACAAGAAAAAAAATACCACCACAATAATTTAATAATTTATGCAATAAACAAGATTCTACTTCTACGCCTCATAGCTAGCCTATTTGTTCTGTTCTTTGTTTTTGATGTGCTTTGAAATTTATTGTATTATCATACTTTATATTATTTGGCTGGCCTAACACAAGTTTTGGTTGTTCTTTTAAACTGAATGTACTTTCAGGACTGTTGCCTTTTTCATTGTTAACATGTTAAATTACTATTATTATCAATTATGCCAATATTATAATTGCTATAATATTAAATGTTAAATTACTATTATTATCAATTATTCCAATATTATTATTGCTAGGTACGACGGCCGCCGTACCAATATTCTGATATGATCGTTTTCAAATATAAGTCTATTTGTTTATGTAATCCTACATTCTACTTCACCTTAACCCTACTTAAAAAAGAAATTAAACTTGAGTGCTATTTCCGAGCACTTGGACGTGTAAATTTTACAAAATTTTCGAATCTCGGCCCCAACTATGGTGGAGCTGAGATTATCATGTTTTGAACTCTCACGCCATACCAATCAATAAATGCTTCCGTTGCCCCTGTTAATTGCTCAATTTCATTATTTTCTACTGTTTATCTAAGAAAAGATGAAAGTAATAAATGTTGTTGAAATGAAATATTTTTGTTTAACATGAGAATACAACTTAGAGCTAGTTCTTGAATTGGATAAGCTTACTGAATATGAAGCTTTGATTTGCATGGTTTTCACCAGTACAGTAGGCCAGTCTAGGGGGCCTAGGCTAGGCCTACTAACGTACTACTACCACCACTACTAGGGCTAGCTAGGCATAGTACTACTAATACTACTACTACAACTGTACTACTTCTCTGTACTACTACTAATGTATCTATAGGCCTAGCCTAGTACTACTACTAGCTCTACCTAGCCTAGGCCCGGCCAGCATAGGCCTAGTTTAGTTAGGTTGGATAGGCCCAGGCCTAACCCCTAAGTATTTGCTCTAAATAAAACTAAAAGATAGAGAATGTGTCTACCTCATAGGCCTAGGGCAGGCTGGGCCCTAGATAGGCATTGGCGAGGGCTATCGAATGCGTCTCTACTAGCTAGGCAACCACTTAACATTAATGGAAGTAAAGTTTACTCCTATTGTACTGTACCACACTAGGCCTAGACAGGGAGTTGTTCACTATAACAACTCCCTGGCCTAGGCCTAATATGTCTATGACTAGGCCTACTTTCTGTACGGGCCGTAAGCATAGCCTAGCTGGCTAGTAGTAGTAGTGTAAGTTAAGTAGAGGAGGAGTAGGCCTAGCCTAGGCCTCCTAATAATACAATACAAACCTTCCAAGTGCCTAATCCAATGATGGGCATAGATGCACCACTTTGGAGTTTCACAGCGTATTGCGACATTACTAGCAGAAAGATAGGTCTATAACCTAAAATTGATGATAAACCAACGTAAGCCTCGCGATATAACACACGTTCGCCTCGCGGCATAAAATGCAAAATCATCGACTCCCCCAAACCCCACACACATGACGTCAAGCTGACCTGACAATGGTCATTCCAGGTACGCAAAAAATCATTTCCAATGCTTACAGGGCGCAAAGGTCAATTTACAGATTCTCATGAAGACAAATTTCTCCCGAAATTTCTACAAAAAAAAGAAGAAAAAAAGTTAGAACTCAATATGAAATAGCGTATCAATTATATGCGTAATACATACATACATACATACATAAATGTATAAATGTATATATATATGTATATATATATATATATATATATATATATAATAATAACATTTCTGTGAGACATACGTGGAACCAACTACATCGGATACTATAATAAAAATAGTATCCGATGTAGTTGGTTCCACGTATGTCTCACAGAAATATATAATAAGAAACAAATACGAAAAAGAAACGATTGCATACGTTGACATAATGCAGACATAAAATTTATTCAAGACGAATATTTCGGACACGCCTAAAGGCCAACTCAATATTTTTCACGACGGCTTTAAGACTGTCCCCGACGATAAATCGGGTCTGGCTGCGTCGGCCGACGTTGTCTGAGTTGGCCTTTAGTGTCCTTCCTCAGCGTTATACGTATGACTGAAAAAATACAGAACAGATGAACTAAAAACTGTAAGATATAAGGCGAGATAAATTCTAAGATAAAAGGCACGCCATAGGAACTGAGAAGTAATAAACAGTCGGCAATATAAAAAACGTTGGCTATTATTATTATTATTATTATTATTACTATTATTATTAATCTAACTTATATTTGTTTATATCATGTTTGTGCTTCTCAGAATACATATATTATTTATATTATAATTTTTATATATATTCCTAATGCTATTGTTTTGTAAGAAGGTCAATGTCAGATATATTAAATAGGCCTATATGTTAATACAATTGGCTAATAGGCCTACGCACTCGCAGGGTAACAATGATTAACACATATGGATTAAGTCGACCACTCGTATACTTTTAAGTCACACAGCTGATTCGAGGCCAATGGATATATTGTAAGACACTCAATTTTTATTGCAACATACATTTTTGTGTTGAGAAACAATGGTGACGACAATGGGAGGGGGAAGGATAGAATGGACATTTCCCCCTCCCGTCGCACAGGCCTGGACCCCCCTCCCGTCATCTGACGCACGACTAGGTCGTCGGATCAAAAATATCTAAAAATAATAATTTGTTTCTGACTGCCAATCACTAATAAAAAGTACATTTTGAACCATACTAATCCATAAAAACTCTCACCGTGAACCTTACAAGGGAGTTCCTATCTGGGCCGTCGACCGAGGCTTTGCCTGCCCCTTGGCTCGGACCCCTCAGTCAGGCATTTCGGACCTCTTGTCGGCAAATTTCCAGCGCCACTGCTGTTGAGAAGTGTACTGAAACGTTATTGTCATTAGTGGCGTATCTATACGAAACCCGACAGACACAGACCCCAACTGGAAATTCGCTAAGCAAAGCAGATAGCCAAAAATCACCCTTTTTGCTAGAGCTTTAACCCCACGTAACCTTCGCACCCTCTTAATTGCCAATGCCAATAAGACCACGAAGAAGAAGCATGTGATGATTATTATTATGCAACAGAGTTGCTGTATCTTAATGGGAGATTCGCGTGATGGTGGTGGTGTAGGAGCCTTAGGTTAGGAGAAATTTATCACCAAAGCCAGATCCCCACCCACTCCCTCGTATAGAGCAACAAATTCACTACCGGTACGAAAATGGATTACATTCATCAGGTACAATTACAAAACTATTGGGAATGTTTATTTTTACAACGCTGTATGTGAAATGGTTAAAAGATGAAATACTGTTTTCATACCAGATTATTAAGCCTATTATATAGCACAGGAAAAAACCACATTAGGATTGCATATTACGCTATAACACAGAAACTCGGACATTGGTGAAACTGTTATCTCGTGGTACCTCCCACCTCCAAATGATCATCAACTCCAGGCCCGTAGCCAGGGGGGGTTTTTATGGTTCGGGCGAACCCCCCTTTTCTAGCGAACCCCCCTGTTTTCTAGCGAACCCCCTCGAATTTTTGAATGAGTCTCACCCGTTTTTAAATTTTAGCCTGCATTACAAGCCTACATTCATAGAATATGTCAGCTTCAGAAGTTCGGAGATTTAAATTAAAACGCAATTCCTTTACGATGGCACACATAAGGATGGCAAACATCGATAAAAACACGGCTGCCGTCTCAACTTTCACTGGCCTTTGGCTGAATGTTTGTAAGAAATGTACCAATCGGTAACGAAACCGGTCGCCGTCTACCTAGAGTAAATGGTGCCACCAAACGAAGCTAAAGTTTTGCGACTTAATCCACCAAATGCAAATAAAGTTTTGCGATTTAATCACCTAAATGTGGATTGTGTGGTTAGTAAATTCCATAGCCATACTGTCCATCGCACACACTAAACTATGTGCTGATGGAGCATTTTGTGGAAATGGACTCTCCTTTTTTTTTCATCCCAAACAAAATATTATTAATAAATCAACATAGTCCATCTCAGTCATCATAGCCAGTCACAAAATTAGGCTAGGAAGTTTGTTTTAAACAGCAGACACGCTACAGAACGGAGTGCGTCAAAACGAGTATTTGTTAATGTTTAGTGATAAAGAATCATGAAACGTTGTAGAATAACTGACTTTTTTTTCGTCCGCTGTTGCAAAGAAGAAAACGACAGATAGTCCTGGTGAGATATTGATTTTAAAATCAATTAGCCTAGCCTAAATGTTGACTAGCTAGGTTCGCTCCTTGTTCATTTAGATACAGAATTATACCCCGACGACAACAAAGTGTAGGCCTAGGCCTAAGTACATTAGAACGTACTACAGGTAGGCCTACTAGGCCTAGGCTTTTGTTGTAAAAGTTGAAGTGCATGTACAGGATGCGCCATAGGCCTATATTTAAAAAAATACATTTTGTTAATTATTATTGGTTGGCCTGGGACGGACCTAGGCAGGCAAGCTTTACCGTCGGAAGTCCTGGGATTCGACGATGACGTCCGTGCACGTTTACAAACGCCATTGATTAGGATAAAAATAGACACGCTAAATTTCGGTTATATATTCAGTAAGATATACTAAAAACGATTATTAATTCTGAAATGTGCATCTCAGCTATTATTAATCAGTAAGCTATGTATTATGTTATAAAGTCTTAAAATAATAATTTCGAATTATGCTATATTTTGGGCTCTGATTTAATTTAACGATGGCCCTATCAGTAGTAATGGCAGTATTTGTGCTTTTTTTTAGCCATGTAAAATAGTACTATTTTTATGCGAGTCAAGAAGAAGTAGTAGAAGAAGCAGAAGAGGAGGAGGAAAAAGAAGAATAGCTTCTTTTTTTTTTTATAATAATAAACGTGTTGAGTTTGATATCGATTATGCGATGAGCTTTTTTTTTTATATCTTTCGGTGTGATATAAACATGCCAATTCTCAGAAAATATTTTCTAATTTTATTATATTACCACCTTTTCATTACATAGATCTTTTTCAAAACATAGGCCAAACCGCTTTTATAACATTATTATAGACCCATTAAACACAAAAACTGCTCTGGCTTCGGGGGCCGGACTCTAATATCGATTTAATAAGCCTTTGAAACCCCTGAATTGTCAAAATTTTTGGGGGCTTCACCCCCAGGACCACTTTTGCAACCTATTAATTGAAGCTCGACCACGCCCACTTTGCTTTCGTGGGGGAAATCTTGACCCTCGTCGGGGCACCGCCACCCCGGTCGG